TTATTTATTTATTTATTATCAAACTTGTATGCCGCCCATCTCCCCCAACGGGTGACTCTGGCTAAGAAAAACAAAAAGGACTTTAGATATATTTAAAAGGAAAGGAAAAGAAAAGAAACAATATACCATCTGCTCAGTAAGAATGTCAAAATGCTAACTAGTAACAAAGAAAAGTCAGAATTTCTTAATTTCTAGGTTGGCTCAAACCTCCTCCAGCAAGACACTATTTCTTCCAGGAAGCAATTGTACAGATCAGGATGAAAGGGCAGGACTAAAACTTTAAATTGACAGAACCATACTCAGGGAATATCTATTTACTTTGAATGAGTTTAAATCTCTAGGGCCAGATGCACTGCATCTTAAGCCACTGATGGGGAATTTAAACCTCTCTGTCCTGAGAACCTCTGGAGAACTGGTGAAAAGCCAGATAGCCGGAGGAAGGCAAATGTCTCTATCTTCATAAAGGCTACAAAATAGGATCCAGGGGATTAAAATCAGCCTCATCCAGAATACGACTTATCTGTAAGCACTCTGAAAGCAACGCTCTAAGTATCAAAGTCAACACGGAAAAGTTAACCATAATTCTTGCCAGGCTAACCTTTTCTCATTTTTTAATTAGGCAACTTCCTTAGTGGGTTGCATGAACACTGTAAACACAATATAGCTAGCTTTCCCGAGAAAGGCTCCCCGGTACTGTACTTCAGAGCAAAGCAACAGAGCCCAGGCTCCTACTCCCGGGCCTTTGTAAGGCTCAGGGTCAGGCATCCGGAGCAGTTTCCTTTTCTTCCTGGTTTTCAGAGTCACCACCTCCCTCTTCTAGCTACACGCACCAAGCGCCCGGCTTCAAGTTCACGATCAGGATTGGCCAAGATGGCCCAACTTAGGCGGGTCAACGAGGGAAGACAGGGCAGGACCAGGCTATACTCACCGCTTAGATAGTTGGTCCATTTATATAGTACCCCCTCCATGATGACAAGGTCCCCCCCATCCAGATCTGCTTGGGACAAGGGAAACCTTGCCCCTGGCCTCCCCCGGGAAACTTTTAAGCTCTCAGCCCCACAGCTGAAGCACGGATAGCCAAGGCCATCCTGAGGCTGGCAGAAGTCCGGCCCGCCTCCCTGTCTCCTTCCCCGCCCTATTCCCCCCTCCCTACCCTACCAGCCAACCAGTTAGCCTTACGCTACTAGAGTAGAAATGCAGGTTTCATTTCAGCTACGGGCTTTGTCCGCCCCTAAGAGTAGCGTAAACGCGTTTCTGAATGCGAAGTTCACATGTGATTTAGAGAAAGGGCGTAGCTAGAACACCAAGAGAGCAGATGAGTTCTTGGGAGCCAATGAGAACCCGGCTCCATGCGTGGCGTCAGCCTATGATGCCACTCCGAAGCCGGTTGTATTGTGTTGAGGGATTCCAAACTGTATGCGCGGCGTTCTCTCGCTAGAATTTTTGGGAGACCAATCGCCGCTCGGCGATGGGAGCTTCCTTGACGTTTTTCCCCCCCCCCTGCAGATGAACGGGCCAGCTTCCCAATGGAGCGCCTAGCGTTCAAGGCGGGCCCTCACGTTGAACCAACTAGAATGGAGAAAGAGGAGAGGTGGGTGATAAATGGATACGACTGGCTCGGAGGAGGCTTGCCTGCTTTTCCGCGGGTTTTAGGGGGCACGCTTGCCACGTCTGCGGATTTGGGAAGTGGGGGTGAAAGCTGGTGAGATTCCGAGGCTGAAGGAAGCCTTTTCCGTCTCCGCCTTTATTGCAGCGGCTGGCGTTTTAAAGGCTTGTAAAGTGGAACTCCCAGAAGGTGCAATTTCAGTGGAAAAAGCACGCTAGAAAGTAAACACAATATACTTTAGAGTTTGGGGGGGTTTTCAAAGTGATTTTGGATCAATTCTTAGCAATGTGCGGTTCTTATTTGGGCATCGCTGGATAATTTTTTTTAATGGCCAGGTGCAGGTAACATCATGCGGGTTGCTTTTCAACCTGTGAAAAACCCATCGGTCTAGTAACCAGAATGGAAGGCAGCGTTTGGATTCTCTTTGCGACCGTGGCTTTGGCGACGGGCGCGCTCATCCCAGAACCAGAAGTCAAGGTCGAAGTCCTCCATAAACCTTTCATTTGCAACAGGAAGACCAAGTTTGGAGACATGATGCTGGTGCACTATGAGGGCTATTTAGAGAAAGATGGCTCACTCTTTCATTCCACGTGAGTATCTCGTCTACAAATTGGGACACACTGAGCAAACATCACATTTTTAGCTCAATGCAATGTGTGAATGGAAACAGTGTTTAGTATAGCGGTATATACCGTGGCTTTTCTTGTAATGATGTGGCCCTTAACGCACCGCTCAAGGTCAGCTGCAGCCTTGGGTCAGAAAAAGTGGCACGTTCTTAGGATGCATAATCAAAAAGTATGATGTATTCTTAACTGGAAAACTTTGATGGCCTTAGGCTACTGGACTTATAGGATATTGTGGATTCATTCTCAGTTGGGTCATAACTATTGATATTATTAATCACACTTTCTTTGTCCTGAGTGGTGATACTTTCCTTTGGATAAGAGCACTTTAGCATTTATTTATAAAATCCATAAGCAAACCACAGCAGAACCATTCTTACAGGAAGAGTCCCCTTTCTCCTCCTCTCTTTGTATCCATTCATACTGTTATAAATTCAACTATAAATTAGCATCATGCAGGTGTTCTCCGTTTATGGATCATGACCCCTGGGGATTTGTGAATAATGTAAAGGGGGTCAGTTTATTTTTTGTAGTTTGCTTCAGGCAGGGTGTCTGTCTTGACCAGCTTCCACATCAGTTTTCTATCTGCTTCTTTTTCTTAGGAGAAGCACAAGAATTCTATGAACTATCAAGTAGATTGTACTCTTTAGTTTATTATGTTATAAAACGTTATTCTGAAATGACTTTTTTGCTTGTGTATCTAGTTATTTTACAAGATGTTTAAATTTGTCTGTTAAAATCTGTCACTATATAATTAAGTCTTGTAATTCTCTTTGATTAAAGCATAGTGTTTTTTGTAGACCTGGGGTTTTAATACAAATGAAATGGACAAAAAGCATTTCTACATGTTGACATCTGTTAATTATGTGGCAAGCTGGTCTGACTATTTGTAATCTGTTGACATTGACCACTGGTAACTGGGTTCAGCTTCTGTCAAAAATATTGCTCGCTTCTGGCATCTCTGCTGGTGTGATAAGTGGTAGTGTGCCCATAGTTTCTGGAATGTCTATATGTATTAGTGACATTCAGTATTTTTATCCATTAATTTAACAGATGGATAACAAACATATTAAACTGATAGCTACTCTGTGTTACTGTTGAGCAGTTCACTGAAGGCTATTCTGACACTCTGAATTCCCAACAATGTCTTTCCTTGAATATTACCATACAAGAGGGATACAGGGAATTGTTGAGAAGCGTATGAGCATGCTATTTGTGTGAGTTGGGTTTAAAAAGAAAAAGTGCTGCTATAAAGAACAATTATTGATTAGAAAATGAATGAGTGGTTGTCCCAAAAATGAAGGTCAGATTTCAGGAATTATGCAATTATTATGCAATAAGGATGTGTAAGCTCATCCTTATTAGGGATTTTGGGGACATTTTGTTAAATCTCCAATGAAATTGCTTTATTTTATAAAGTTGTACCTTTCTGTCATTGTTTCATTTGATATATATAGAATAAATGTTAATTATTAAATCAAATGCATTTTTGTGACATTCCCCCCTCCCAATTCATCATGTAAAGGGATTGCAATATTACAAAGTTCTAAAATTCCTCATATGATACCTGTAAGCTAATGATTGTCATTATGAACCTAGATTTAAGTTAGTGCAAATATAATCTACTTTTGTTTGTATTGTGGTATTACTAATAGCTTCAATTTCTAAACCAGGACAAAAGATCTAAAATCTGTCCCCTTTATCAGTCTCTCTTTCCTATGCTTTTTTAATGCTTTAAAATGGGGCTAGGGCCCTCCAGAAATTGCCGAATTACTGCTCCTACAGCCACACCTAGCAAAACCAATAGTGAGTGCTGCTGTGAGTTTAGTTGAGCAACATCTGGAGGGCTTCACATTCTTCAGTCTGGCTTTCAAAGTTTGTTCCAGGAAGTACCCTGTAATTCTAGTTGCCATTTGGATTACTAGAAAGATATAGAATAGGATGGCTTTTGGAGCAGCCTGTCATTAGCCTTTGAGAACAGAATACTGAAGTACTAAATCTCTGGTCTGATCCAGCAAGAGGATTCTCTCCAACTGGGTGTCCCAATGGAATGTTTTCTTTGTTTCAGCCACAAGCATAACAATGGCCAACCGACATGGTTTACTCTTGGTATAAAGGAAGTTATCCAAGGCTGGGATAAAGGTTTGACGCAGATGTGTGTAGGAGAGAAACGCAAATTAACAGTTCCTCCATCCCTGGGTTATGGAAAAGAGGGGAAAGGTAATACTGTCAGGTTCATAAAATCTTATGTGCCATTAATATTTATCTCCTTATCCAGCTTATATAATCATATACAACTGCATGGAAAGCACAACATCTTTCTGCATCTTTAATGCATACTTACTATTTATGGACAGCTATTATATTTACAGATTCAAAATATTTTGGGAAGACAACCGTCTGAAACATATTTCCAAATCAATCATGAGATCCTTTCAGAAAAAAAAATGTTTTGGCATAGCCTTCACAGCCCGAGGCTTGAATATTACTGAAAATCTTTGGGAAATCGCAGACGTGAAGGACATTTGAGCTAGAAAAATTCTGCAAGAAAGTGGGGAAAAAATTCTAAATGCAAGAACAAAAAGATTCTTAGCTGGATACAGGAAGCTTTTGGAAACAGTTATTTCTGCCAAAGGAGATGCTACAAAGTACTGGCCAAAAGTCTAGTATTTCCAAACTTTTGTACCTGCTACATACAGTGTTTTCTTATTTTGAGTCTGTAAATAATTCCATATAAATAGAAAGTATGCATTAACAGTTACAGAGAGATGTTGTGTTTAACTTTGGACTATGCAAAGGTTGTATCAGTTTCTGTTCATGTGTGGATTCAGTGAAACATAATATTTGATCAGGATTAAGGTCTGACTTTTGCATACAGATATACCATTGTATATTCCAAGGCATCTATTAGCCAAATTTAAATTAGTTTGATTTCCTTTTAACTTGATTATTTCCACTGATATCAAGAGAACTGTTTTCTTATATATGAACTAACAGTGTAATCCTGTATAACTTATTCTAATAAAAATAACATGTTTTATTTATTTATATACACACACACATATGTGTGTATATATTATATATATATATCATACACGTGTGTATATACAAGTGTGTATGTATGTACATACATACACACTTGTATATACACACGTGTATGATATATATATATAATATATACACACATATGTGTGTATATATTATATATATATATCATACACGTGTGTATATACAAGTGTGTATGTATGTACATACATACACATATACACATACATATAAATGCTAGAAGATCCCTTAGTATGTCTTGCTATTACTAATCATTCTCCCCTGTAGCTTGTTAGCATCAGTTTAAGGTGCTGATGAAACTTTTAAGGAAGAAACGGGCTATAGTATATTACTAGCAGAGTTACACAAAGTGGCTTTCTTCTTAATTTAGGCTCCATTCCCATAGGCTATAAATAGGGAGTGTGAAGTAATGTAGGAAAGAGAAAATAAATTTGAAATGAAATCAGTTCTGTGTCCTCACTTTTGCTTTTCTTGCACTTAACTTTCATGGGACAAGTGGAAATATTACCTGTCTTTCTATTCAGATCAACCCAGGTGTATGTTTGTACATTTTTTGAGTCTGGCCATACTCAGTGTTACATAGGTTACTACAGAAACAAAACAAAATAACTGTCTTTATGTAATCCAAATGGGGTAGAGCTACAAACAGAAAATGTGTAGATTTTTTGAATTGTGGGCTATGGAAGAAGTGCATCAATTTTGATATTTTTCTGTACTTCTGATAAGGCAGTGTAATTTGGAGACACTTTGCCATTCTGATGCCGTCAGGTGTGCTAAATTCTAAGAGTTATAATTCTGATACAGTTGGAAAGTTCAATGGGACTAACTTCTAATTGAGTGTGTGTAGATTTGCATTCTAAATTAGTTAGCCGTTATGTAACTTTCTATGCTTTGGATAGCTGTAGGTAACAAAATAAGTCCTATGTTCTCAGTTTTATGCTTAATGTGATCTCCATGTTTATATATTTCTTTGGTAGGAAAAATTCCACCTGAAAGCACACTGATCTTCAACATTGACCTTTTAGAAATCAGAAATGGGCCAAGATCTCACGAGTCCTTTCAAGAGATGGATCTTAATGATGATTGGAAGCTATCTAAAGAAGAGGTGAATAGGTTAATGCATTCTACAGTTTACAGAAAAAGATAACTATTACTTCCCTTGAAGTTCTCTTTATGCAAGTTTGGTGTCTGTAAATAAGATTTCATTCCAAGATGGGCTAGATTGGGACTGAACAATTACTCCTGCATTCAGAGTTCTGCTGGATCTACTTTTATATTATGTCCACCCTGCTTTTTTGGCCAGCAAGCAAAGGGACAATATTTATGTGAAGTTACAAAGAATATTGCAGAAAAGTCCTTCAATAACGTTGGCCTCTCTCTAGAAATCTGTGCGCACCTTCTCTTGAATACACGCCTGTGGTTTTGAATTTCAGTAAAAAAAGCAGAACTAAAGTTTTCATCATCAAGGATGTTTGTTGGGAAACAGTGCAGGTGTCTAGCTCATACATTAAATCATAATGTGATTTATTTATGGCCTATTGAATGGACCATATGTACCTCCCCAGAATATTGGGAGTCCCTCCAAATATTTCTCCAAAACTGGACTTTTAAAATGTGATATTATTAAATACTCAAAGAATCATATTTGCTATATTTTAATTACATGCACATTAAATCACATTTTAGCACTTCCCTGGCCTGGTCTGCTTGGTCTAATGCAGTTAATAGCCTTGTTAGCCTGTAATCCTAAACCTACATACTTACATTTCAGAATTTGTTTAGTCCCATTTTCTTTCTCCAGTGCAACCCTAAACCAAAAGGGGAAATTAAAGAACAAAAGGCAATTTATGAAGTTGACTATAGATATGATGGAGGCAAGGGTGGTTTGAAAAAAATAGAAAAGAGTTACTATTGTGTTAGTGTAAACGAGATAAGACTTCCTTTTCTTTATGTTCTGCTTTTAATTTCTTTTGCGTATTACTTCTTACTCTTCTTTGCACTTCACCTAATGTTGCTTACCTAGAATGGGAATAGTGTGATGGGTATATATGTATGTACTTGTGCACAGGCCTGGTTATCTGAGGGACTACCTATCTCCAGTTCTTTCTCCCCACCCAGTACATTTGAGTAGAATGGGTGCTGTAACAGTCTGTGAGAAAGTCCTTGAGAGACAGCAGCAGCAGCAGCAGCAGCAGCAGCAGCAGCAGCAGCAGCAGCAGCAGCAGCAGCAGCAGCAGCAGCAGCAGATTTGGGCAATGGTCAGAAAAGAGGCAGTTTAGCCTGCAGAAGCAGTGGGGTATCTCAGAGGAGGCCCTTCCTAGTTTTGGGGATTGTAAAGGTGAGGGGAGTGATTACTTTCAGACTTGCAAGATTCTGTTAATGTAACCTTACAAGAAATGTAATGTTAGTGCTCACGATTGGGGCTTCTTGTGTGAACTACCTCTAAGGGCTGACAGGTGCCCTCTAGGTCTCAATTAAACATGTCACTTGTGAGACTGAAGAAGCATGCCTTCTCTATTGCTGCCCCTGCCCCCCAGAGATACCTATGGCACCCACTCTCCTGGGGTTCTGAAAAGTTCTCAAGACCTGCTGTGCTACCAAACCTAGGGCTAGTATGTCTGTGCAGCCCCCATCATGTTTTGTATTGTGTTTTTATTGCTATGGTTGTTTTTAGTCTGGGCTGCCATGTTTATTTCATGTGTTTTTTAACCGTTTTAAATTATTTATTTGATTTTGTAAGCTGCCTTGAGTTTTCTGGAGTGGGCGGCCATAATAAATTTGATCAAATAAATAAATAAATAAATAAGATCTACTGTATTCTGAATCAAATGAGTACGCCATTTAATGCTGGTCTACTTTCTTTTCCTTCTAGGAATCTGAAGAGCTGATTATATATTAAAAAATTGTCTTTTTTCTTTGTCTCAAAGGTAAGAACGTATTTGAAGAAAGAATTTGAAAGACATGCTGCACCAATTAATGCAAGTCACCACGATACTTTGGTTGAGGACATATTTGATAAAGAAGACGAGGACAGCGATGGCTTCATATCTGCAAGAGAATTTGTTTACAAGCATGATGAGCTATGAAGAGTTCTGAAGTAATTAAAAGAAAAATAACAACTTGGAAAAGTTACCAAGTTACTCATCAGTGGGTGCATAAATTACAATGCCTATTTTTCTACAAGAGCTATTTCTGATTCCAAATGTTACAGTGTTTAGATATAAGACTGAAATATTTTAAGGTTTTTATACAGATGGAAGCATCATTATGTATTTAAGAACATGGAATTAAATCATTTCCAGTAACAGATATTACTGAAAAGACACTCTAGCGTGGTTTGCTTTGAAGGTGGTGTATGTATATATTGTGAATACACCTCTTGTTTAAGTATTTAATTTCTGTGCTCTACAAAAAAGATGCTTAATATTTTAAATGACAGTTGTCACAGTGTGCTAGTAGGTCTCATTGTTTGTATAATCTATACAGCAACTTTTCTTTGTAGAAAGATAAATGTTGCACTCGTGGTGATTATAATGTCTCATATAAAGCAACTTAAGACCTTTTGGTAGTGTTCTGTTTTAGAGTACTTGTAGAAGCTAGCCTATCCTAATCAGAAATAACCTTTTTATCATATATAGAAAAATAACATTTTATATTTAATTTAATTTGTAAATATACCTGTTCTTTGCTTTCTTCCTTAATATAAAAGAAACCACCTTCTTTTCACCCAGCTCAACAGAACGGAAGCAGTCAAGGAGGGACTTGGTTCTTGGCTCCTAATGCCCTGTCCAAGACCTAGTTAAAACCCAACAGATCTCAGAATTGTAGCTTAGGGAGATTTTCTCTCCTCTACACAAATCAAGTATAGGCCTTTAGAATCAGAGTTGAAATGCCAACTGAGCTCAAGCTATTTTATCTGCCTTCCAAATCTGTTGATCTCTATTTTGTAAAATTAGTGTAGGTTTATTGGTTTTCTATAAGCCATAATTTCTTTCAACGTGGTTCATTGAAGAATTTAGAGTTAGCTGGATTTGCACAATAGGCTAAGCAAAACCAAACCACTTTTCCACTTAGTATTGTGTGCCTCCAAATTCTCCTTTCATATGTACCAGTAGGAAAAGTTGTGTTCAGGTATTAAATCCCATTGGTATGAGAACCACCTCTGCTTCCCTCTATACATTGAGATGGGTGGTATTACCTACAGGGCCAGTCTACTATCTATCAGTTAGGACCTGGAGAATCAGACTTCTACACCAAAAGAGCAGGCCCCCTCTTTGGCAACTAGGTCCTTCAAGGTGACATGGGCTTTGATCATTCAGTTCCTCCCTTAACTTAGGTGAGTTTAGATTTCCCAAATGGAACTTTTATTTCTCTGGCCTCTTGCTGTAAGTGTAGCTCTGTTCCCAAGTTGGGGGAATTCAATGGCTCTGGCAAGATGATTGAGCATTACAGACAGTCCTCATTTAGCTATCACAACTTGGACCGGCAACTTGGTTGTAAAGCAAAGTGGTCACTAAGTGAAACCATGATTGTGCTTATGATATTGCTTCAGCTTTCCTTTGCTTCACAGACCTGCGAAGGTCGTAAATGTGAAGATGGTCATAAAATTACTTTTTCATCACCGCTATAATGGAACAGTCACTAAATGTGGCAGTCGCTAAACGAAGACTACCTGTATATCTATATGGCTTAGTTTAGGAAGTACAAAGCTGACTATTTTTACTCTTGAATAAGTTGATTCACCAGACACTGTAAACCTTCCTGTGGTTAATTTGCTATGTGCACCACAGCAGTTGTGATGTCAACCAGCTGTAATTTTAAAAAGTCATGGCTTAGCATGAACCCAGTCAGAATCCTATAGTCACCATACCTGAATGCTTTAGGGCAGACTTTGTAAAGCTGAATTCCCCATCTGTAGTCGCTCTGAAAGGTAGCAGACTTAGGCTATAATAATTCTTACTGATTTGGGTGTAAGTCTCCTGGAAGTAGATACAGGATTGGGCTGTTTTTGTGGTTTTCCTGTTGTGGATTTGAGGCAACTATGCCATATGCACAAACATATTTTTGTTTTCCAATATTAATGTGTAAAGAAAAAGAAGCAAAAGTGTTGAAATACATGTCTATTATGTCATCACCGTCTCTTGTTCCTCTAAATCAGTATTTCTCAACCTTGGCAACTTTAAGATGGGTGCATGGCTGGCTGGGGAATTCTGGGAGCTGAGACCCCTGTCTTAAAGTTGCTGAGGTTGAGAAACACTGCTCTAAATAGTATGTCATCATCATCATCTCTTGCTCTTAGGACAAGAGCATTATCTGAGTGTAGTCAAAAGACAAAAGGTGTCAGCAAGTTTAGGAAATCTCAAAAATATTTTACAGGAAAACCCCTCAAATCCACCCAAGGAACACAAAGCAGCCTTAGTGGCCTGGGAATGCTATTAAAAATGGAACGAAACAGCCTAGAAAAGAGCGTTAACTGGCTGAAAAGGGAAATGCATTGCAATATTTTGTGGCCGAGGACAATACAGCATCTGACCGATCAGGCAAGTGTATTCTCCACCATACGCCTGCTGACCTTTCTAATGCCTGAATTGTTCTCCTCTTGCAATCATAGGAGGTCCTGCAATATTAAGGCTTTAGGTTTTGTGATAGGGACACAAGGCTGTCTCAACCGCATTTCCTCACTCAGGTTGGTGTTAGCCTAATTCGGAACTGTGAAGTAGGAGCTCACGTCAGAGCCTCCAAACCATATCATACTTGCCTCTTCGAAGCCTTGCTTCCCCCATCAGAGTCACCATAATTCTTAGATTATTTTTAATGTTATTTATTTATTTAAATGTATTGGCCGCCCAACTCCAGTGGACTCTGGGTGGGGTACAAAACTAGAAAAAAACACAAAAACAGCTAAAAACATAAAATCAGACAGCCCAGACTAAAATAATCTGATAAATGACAAAATCAACAAAACCAAACGGGCCTTAGGCAAATCATAAACATCAACCCCAGGCCTGGGACCAAAGGCAGGCTTCCAAAGCTTTCCTGAACCCTCGCGGAGAGGGCTAGAGAGACGGGGAAATATGGTTAACCATTCCAACCCTTCCTTCCTACCCAGGCGGCACTCAAGGCAACTTGATTTGAGGTGTCACTTTGTTCACGCTCAGAGACACGGCGCTCACGTTCCGCAGCCCAGGCGAGCCCCGACGTTACGTAGGCGCGGCCTCCGCCGCTGTACGGCGAAAAGAGCTCTAATTGTCCCCCCCGCCCGCCTCAGTCTCGCTGCAGCAGCAGCAGCCCCGCTGGCGGA